ACGTCAGAAAAATAAACCTCTTGTTCCAGTGATCGTTTCTTCTTCTTCCGAATCACCCATATTAATTTCAGTAAAATATAATTTCAAGTGATCCGGAATTTCAGCACAAACCATTGAGACTACAAATGTTTACTTTCAGCCTCATCCTAACCACAAAGCTCGCCCCATCAATCATATTTTAACATGCCTGTTGTTTTAAACGTAAACGATAGATAAACGGAGGTTTGGAGTTTTAACCTGTAATGTTCAAGACAGAACCGAAATTGTTGCCTTAATAAAGGACGCCAGTATCATGAAACAAGACGGTAATAAAAGTTTATGAATGCCCAATTGTCAGCATAAACCATATAATTGACCAGAATGAAGACGCAACCGAGTCAGTTCAGTAATCACAGTGGATAACAGGCAACTTATCTAGAAGAACAAGAGGTTTGGCTAACACAGTACTTGGGTTGGATTCCATAACTCTCCTGAATGGTCTAAAGTTCCGTACTAAACTGGATACTACATGTATTTTGCATTCAGGTTCAATTAATCGTTCTGCCTACAGATAAAAACTCTAGGTCCTCTAGACCCGAGGTTAAGGTCTGGATTCCGGTTGCTGACAAAGAAGTCATATTTACCGTTCTAGTCCTGTCTGTCTTTGTGAATATCAATTCAAAATAACCTTTTACAAGACAAACCATACTGTCGCGTTTGCCTTCTACTTCAATACTTACATCTGCTTTCTGTAGAGATTTAGGTTGAATTTACGCACAGTTTTCGGCACAACCAACTTCTCTTTTGTTTCCAATCTACAGCAAAAAGAAACGTCAGGAAAACCCAGATGCTACTCAAGGGCGAAAACGCGCTAACGCAGTGGTCAGGGTTCAGACCCGACGCAGCCGTAAACGGGCCAAAAAAGGCACGCGTGAGGACGAGGAGGATGAGGAGGACGAAGAAGAAGAGGAAGAAGCATGCATCCCAGAGCGAACCACTTTCATTGAGCACAGTATCAGCGGTCCAGCGGCGGGCCTTGAGTCAGAGGAAGAGGACGCCGTCGCTGCAGTTGATCAGTTTGCTCGTGATCGTCACTCACGACCTCTTGATCTGTATTCTGATGTGGGTTCCCTTTTATCCTCTGATATCATTACCACTACTGCTGCTGCTGCTGCTGCTACTACTACTACTACTACTACTACTACATCTACTACTACTACTACTACTAC